GTGACATGGATTCCAAAGTTCTTCTCCAGTCAGGCTGCGACTGGAGATGACTTCATATTTTGGTGTACATGAAGGTGAATGGCGGCAGCCGGCTCCTGCTTATAGAGGAAGATCTTGGGTATCTTCCGCCCTGGTACTCATATCCACTTCCTCTGTCTGGGCTGCGAAAACTTCGCTCATATGTGACTCGGCCGGAATGACTTTTTTTTGGCCCCCCCTGTATAGTAGGTTAGAGCGAGGCAAGGGGACGAGCAAACACAAAGCACTGAGCTATTTCCCTGTAATGCTAAAGATGTGAAGGCCACAGTAGAGACTGAAGAAATGTAAAAGGGCTAGCCGTCTACCATTCTCATCAATTGGTATCATTACTTGTCACCTGTCATCAACTTTTCCCACTGAACCTCTGAAATTCGGAACTGTGAGACGGTACCGCATTGAAGCAGCGAAAATGGCGGCAACGCTCTTAATCGGTCCGTATTAGTCGTTGCCCCTTTCCGTGTACCCTCAAACAGTGTTCCCGTCCCACACTGTACAGTACTTGCTGGAATTGACTTCTTACAGCTGCTGCGAATCAAGCTATGAATTCGATGACTATGCTCTTCTAAAGCAAATGGAACCGTTTGGCAAACGGGCATACAGAACGAAGACGGAGACCGTTGCTAACTCACTAGTGGGTGAATTAGGCTGCGCCTCTAGTGATTGAATGAACGACGGTCATTCTGTGCTGGTGGTCAGCCTATACGTTACACTGTGCCGTGGCAAGCGACATCCTTTCCCAAAAAGGACACAGGTATTAGCACTTCCGACAGCGACATTGTATCCTACAGGAACTCACAGCATAAAAAAGGATGAAGGATAAAGTCTTCGCCGTTGATCAATCCCTTTGTGGGATGCGGCACGCATTCTACTTCCATTCAGAATCGTAGTGGCTTATTGAATGCGATGTGGCCTATACAATGACTTGCGGTGGCCAGCCGATGTACAAGTCAGTGTTTTATCCTCCCAGACGAATCTGGTACCAATTTACCGTCCCCGGAGGGTAGAAGGCTTGGTTGGCCTGGGCGGGAGTCGACCCGGGATTCGAACCCGGGACCGCGCGAGTGGTAAGCGCGCCACTTGTCACTACACCACCTCCTGACCAACAGCATAGGATAGGCCAGAAAAACCGTTACTTCGGAGAATTTTCCGTTACTTCGGAGAATTTTAGCTCTAGGAGCTTCACGGTGCCACTATGCCTGTGCCCTTGAAAACTCAGGGAATAACTCACTCATCAGAGGTAGAAAATTCCGAATTTTTTTTCTGTCTGTTTTCTTTCTTTTTTTCTCTCTGTTCTGTTCCAGAGCAATTTAATAAGGGTGTTGCAGGATCTCTTTTCCAATCTGATACACACGGAAACACAAAATTAGTGTTCCATAGAAAAGAAGGATTGTTAATGTACTGATAAGTGCTGCGGAACTTGTAACCCAAGGAAAAGAGAGAAGCGGTGTCACCCCGGATCTGATAACAACAAATCAACAAGAGTCCATTGGAATCATCTGACCAGTACAAGATGGTTGGCTGAAGTGGCTGTTTGAAATGAGACGCGTATCAACAGACGCGCCCTTGTACACCAGTTTCAAACCTGACATCTGAATCCGCTAAACGATTCTAGAAACAGAGGAATCCGGGATTGTTGAGTTGGCCAGTGCTCAAGACCACCAGTGGTCAACAAGTAGGTAAATGATGGGTGAACGGAACGCATGTGATCCGATACCGTAGTGAATAGGCGACCGGCCTCATGACTGTAGTTCAAGGGTAGGGATTGTAGTTCCTTCGTATGTCGTCCTTTTGCATTTCTCCAAAAGCGTTCTCTGCACGTCCTCAGAGCACTTCCGTGTGGCCTGGGGACCTGATTTCACGTAAAAGTATTGCAAGGAATGAAGCAAGTTCGGAAACACTCCGAAAAGGTATTAAGTGCTGGTTTTGGCGGCGTTTTCGCTGCAAAATGTTGCATCGCCAAACCGGCGTCGGAAAACACGATAGCTAAAGATGAATGTTGTAGTTGTGATCAGAACTGCAAGTTACCAGCCACGTCAAATTCGACAGAATTGCTTTACTGAACACTCTCTTCTATGTTATCCTAATACCAGTCCTGCGCTGGGCGGGCGCGGCTTCGCCGCGCGTGCTTCTTTCACATATTTCTAGACTCAACTGATATCCGCCTTTTGTTCTGTACTCCATTTTTTCCGGTGTCTGAAGTACTCTTGAGCTATTTTACAGATTCTTCGTCTGACTCCACCTCAGCAGGCCCCGCCCCACAATGTTTGTGCCCCCTCACCGACGCACTCTGCCTGACCTTAATCACTTGCGTGTCCCGTTCTCGAAGTGCGTCTGGCGACGTTTGCAGATCTTTTGTCTGACTCCGCCCACCTCGGAGCAGGCTCCGCCCAGAATGTTTTTGCCTCCACAATCCTCACCCGCGACCCTGTGCTGACATTAGTCCCTTTTTTTCCTGTGTAGGAGTGTTCTGGAACCGAGCTACAGAATTTCAAAATAAATACCCTGCGATTTAGGGCAAGCTCCGCCCACTGTGGACGGGTCTCAACAACTTTGAGAGTGCCCTATATTCGCTGGATATTCACATTCTACACTGAGTTTTTTGCGACTTCCAAACACTCGCGAACCGGGTTACTGAATTTTGCGAGAAGCACCGCCTAGAATACGCCCCGCCCATTTTGGATGTGTCTGCTACTGTTAGTCTGGCGACTCCTTACTAACCTTATTCCCTTTTTCCCCATCTTTAGGCTGCCCCGGAAGCGAATTATGAACATTTTTCTGCGGAACCCCAAACTTTCGGCGAGTGCCCCGCCCACTGTGGGCGGGGCTTCCCATAGGTCAAGTGTGCTTTTTATTTCTTGTCCCATGCCCTACCCATCCCCACCTTGACCCGACCTCTCCAAGTCGTTCTTCAGGTCGAACCGAATTTCCGGACAGACAAACTTACAAACAAACAAACAAACAAACAAACAAACAAACAAACAAACAACACAAACGCGATTATATATATATATGGGGTGATGGTCCTCAGGGAGCGGTTATTGGAGAAGATCGTGAGCACGAAATTTCTATGAACAATGGCTGTAGTGTGACTTGTGCACCAGACTGTCGTCGATTTCGGATTTATGCGAATTTTGGAAGTTTTCTTGTGTCTTAAACTCCTGTCAAAAATTGCATGACCAGGTGAAAAAAACCTACATAACTATGCTCAGAGAATCATTTGACAGCTACGCTGTGCAGATTTGTCAACTTCTAAAGGCGCATCAAGCAGCCTACATCTCATTCTTCATAGCCATTTCAACCGATCATTCTTTCCTGGTGAGCGGAAGGCCCTCAGTAGGCCTTCAGTATCTGTGCGCGGATGTCTCTTCCTTCGCTACATATTGGAAGGCAGCTACACGTTTGTTTCTAACAGCTACTACCAACGAGCTGCAGGCGCGAACGGTATCTTCGTCGCCGCATTTTTCCGTTGCTTGAACATTTTGAAACCTTCAAAGCCATATGATAGAAGGAAGAAAAAAAATTTGCAAACAGTTTAAGCCGTCCAGTGCAAAGTTGATCAAGAGGAGATATATATTTACCCTGTATGCAGCTTTCACTCCCTCGTTGTCACTTAGGTTCTCTGGGAGTGTGAGTTTTCCACTCAAAGTCACATTAAATTTCGGGATCTGGAAATATCAGTCTCCGAATACTGATCTGCCATTTCTCTCACAACTTGCTGTCACCAAACATCTTGGGAATTTGTTCAACGGATCTGTGAAAATTGATGCTCTTTATAAAATGGTGTTCATTCAAAAAGTCAGCGAAAGAAGGAGAAGAGAAAGAGTATAGTCATTTTCATTCCTTGAGTAATGGCCGTCCAATTACCAGTGTTTGAAGGAAATTTGCATTGTCAAAGGCTCACTGAGCAATGAGCAGTACAACTCCTGACAAAAGAGCAGCTTTGTTGAAGTTGGAAATATTATTGCTAGTTTGACCACGCAAGAAACCCGCTATAACTACTTCACTTTGAATTCACGACTTTACGAAGGAAATTCACAATTTTTAAACCATTCACTTCTCAAAACAGATCGGAGACTCAGCTATCCATGCCTACTAGACATTACTGTAAGGCCTGCCCCAATAGTTACGCCCACATTCCAACGTGGTCTGATTTTCAAATTCTATAACTTCTGCTATTTTTGCAAATTTGCTATTTCGCAAGTATACACTAGCTGAAAGGAGTGTACACCGGCATACGGGCAACTCCGCCCGTTATTTGAAGGGTTCATTGGAAGATTCAACTTTCCATGCCTTTTTTTTCAGCGACGTTCTCTTCACTCTCGCTCTTCACACGACGACGATACGATCAGACGTGCATTCATGCGCCGTCAATAGAGGTTCTGGCATCGCCCCTTGGTCACGCCTGCTTTGCATTTTTTTTGCGAAATTTTGGTGCTCTTCAAAACTTCTGAATTTTTGGACTGTTGCATACACCCGCTTCAAAAAAGCACCGCCCACTCTTGAAGAATGGTGGAATTCGGCAGTATAGAGCCCCAGTTTGGCTGGACTATTACTGGTCACTAAACAAACTTTGCCTGATTCAGCTTTTCCGAGTGATGAATGAAACCCAAGCATGAACCCATGCAAGATGAGACACTATACGCAGATTACCTCATTTCCTAAGAGATGGGCGGGGCATCTCTGAAGTGGGTGGAGCTTTTCACGATGGGGGAACTCCACGAAGCACTTCGCAAATGAAAAAAAATTCGGAAAGGTCCCGGAAGATTCCTCGTTTTTTGGGTCTCTTCCTGTTGGGACCGGGTGCAGTACATGTTCTGTGTCTACGAGGTGTAGCAAGAGACCTTTCTCACAGAACAACATGTCCCCTCACGAAAATGTCGGAAATGTAGATCTTTCAGAAGGGTGAAGTTCACCTTCGATGTTCTTCGTAGGTGATTTCTCTTTCGACACACCCGTTTGCACTTTGAAATCGCAAAGGACACAAGTTGCACCGGCCCGATAATACCTTTGCTGCCACAGAGACGTTTGGCCGCAAAATCCAAGTTGCGCCAGGTTTAAAACATAGAACATGGAAAGGCACTCTTAGGGTTGGGGGTTGTACTACTATTCCTATCGGAAGATATGACAGAGAGAATCGCATGCGTCAATGTGGAAATCATAACGCTGGTGTCACAGATTGTTTGGCACAATTCGGCCACATGATTCCAAAAACTCAGGGATACGTTGTGCTGAAACTTCATTCACAGGGGTCATTTGGTACCCCAGTTACGGATATGACAGTCATTTTAGAACGCTAGCGCCATTTCACACCAATACAGGAGCCTAATTTGGATGGTCATCTTTCTCAGCAAGTTTGATAAAAAACAGCTTGCGGGGTTATCTGACAGTTTGACCACAAATATAAAATTCATTCACACTGCTTGCACAAATGGATGGCTCTGACCATACGCGCTCTGCTGAGACTGAGTCTAGCAAGTGGAATTCAGCCCTCATCTTAGAGGCTTTGCGCCTTATGACGCCTATTGAGAAGTGAGATAGTGTAAAAAGAAGTATGATATTCGGGAACCGGCAGAAAATTTGTTCTCGAGTTTTCAGAGTCGTAACACTGGAATGGTTCTGACTCTTCTCTTTCTGATCATTTCGATTTGCTGTCACCATGAAGATAATCGCAACAAGTCAACAAGAGGAAGAAGAAATTTAAACGGTGCGCATAAATATCCCTAATATGAAACCCCATTTCTAGTTCAAGACTCATTTGTTGGACTCCCTATCACGAAGGAGCACGTCCTACCTTGAGGAATCCCCAACGGAGTCGTATTCAGTCGCTGGAGGAAGAGGAGAGCGTCGTACATTATCTGGAGAAAAACTTGCTCGGTGCATTATTTCTGTCTCGACGGTGCTCCACAGCATTGAGGGTATTCTGACAAGGGAGGTCGTTCAGGGCGTGGTGAGCTTTTTCAAAATGGTCTTGTGCATATTGTAGGGGCACATACGAGGACCAGAAAACTGAGGTTCATTTTCGCTGCGCGCTTCTACGAATAAAAAAACGTAAAAAATAGGTCGATGGTTCGGATCCCACCGAGGACAAAATTTTGCTTTTCTACAATTTTTCATTTTTTGGATCCATGTTTGTCTAAATAATTGGTCCTAACAAAAACATTCACGATAAACTGAACAATCCTACTTTTATGGAGCAAAACTGCTTTTTCGTTCGAATTCGTTAGTATGCACAGACTCAGCTCTTCGGCGCTATGCCGGTGCCAGATGGCACTGGAACCGAAAATAAAGTCTAGAATCGTGATCAGGACTGTCGATTACCCCTAGGAGCAAGTTTTGAGCGAAAAATTTTTTTTGACTTTTTCGGGTTGTAGGTTGACCATTTGGTCATCAGTTTGATCGGCAGTTTGAGCGGAGCCTCATATCTTCGTAACAGCGATGACGTATCGTTGACGCTACCGACCCTGGACAACCTCCCGAATAAGAAACATTTAGGGAGGTCAAAACAGTTGTTTTGACCGAAAATTCGTTTTTAGTGGGAATCAGTGGCCCTGATCACAAATAGAACACCTATTCTTGGCGTCCACGCAATTTGGCTCCAGAATAGCGTTGAACGTCCCTATATGGGTGTACATAACGAATTCAGTGGGATGAAGATGTGGCTCCAAATTGTCTATCTGAATTGAAACCACATCAGAAGT